TTTCTCATTTCCTTCCTTCCCTTTTCACCAGTGAAGGCTACAGTGTAGAATTCTGTTAAATAGGATAGAAAATAACCATTCGCCATGCAAAAGGAAGAAGTCATCTCGGCTCCTGTAGGTCTTTCAGCTGCTTTCATGAGTCTCGAGTCTCATTTCTAGTTTATGTGGGAAAGCTTCCTTCAAAAGCGTCTTCGGAGTCAGACTGTCTTTAGTGTCAAGTTTAGAAAAAACTCAGTGATATAAAACCACAATGATGTTTTCTCTTAATACTTCTGTCATGCAGCTCCTTAACATTTTCAAGCCACAATTAAATTTTCATGCTCGTGGGAGGTGGCGCTGGAAGCTGAGGGCAGGCAGTGCCCCGTGCACAAGCCCACGTGTTTGCAGGATTGCCTGTCCTCAGCGGGGGCCTCGAATGCCCAAGTCTCCGACTGCTCCACGCTGGGAGTGCGGCTCTGAAGGGTCCGAAACCCAGAGCCAGGACCCCTTCCTCATCCTTTCTCATACGTTCTAAAATCCAGTTCCGTGCTTTGCGATCGCCTCTCAGTTGCATCTGAAAACATACCCAGAGGCCAGAGCCCTAGCACAGCGGGGAGGGCGTCCGCCTTGCCTGCAGTTGGCCCAGGCTCCAACCCCGCATCCCTGTGGCACCTGGGCACCACCAGGAGTCACTCCTGAGCACTGCCAGGTGTAGCCCCAAGCAAAACGAAAATCACTTTCATAGAGTGGTAGGGCTGGCTGAGGGATTCACTTGAAAAGAATCGACAGCGTCACTTGGGTGTTCTTGTCTGTCCCCACTGCTCAGTTCATCTGTTCCATGTCAGCCGATTATGACTTTTCTGATGAAACATTTCACGAATCTCGTTTTGTGTATCTTTTTGTTTTTATTGTGAAGTTGGTTTTTTTTAAACTTTTTTTTATCGAATCACTGTGAGATAGATCCTTACAAAGCTGTTTGTGATTAGAATGTTATGGTATTCCAACTCCCAACCCTCCACCAGTGTACATTTCCCAGAGCAAGTGAACCCAGGTTCCCTCCCATCACCCCCCCCCCCCAGCTGCCTCTATGGCTATCTGGCAGCTCACTCGCTCGCTCGCTCTCTCCTTCATCCTCCCTCTCTCTCCCCCCCTCTCTCTTCCTTTTGGGCATTGTGGTTTGCAATATTAATACTGAAATTACTGTGAAGCTTTATCTGCTGAGTGTTCTTCAAAGATCTCTGCAGACAAGGAAATATTTTTAAAAGGCACCAAATAAATTAATAACTGGTTGCTTAACTAAGCCCTTATTATGTCTAAACACTTGTTTTTGCAAAAGGTGGTGCAGCAGAGGGTGAATATTGCTAATTTTGAGGGACTTTCTGATTCTGCCTCATTATAGTCCCACCCCCCGGCTGCTTCTCAGCCTCCCCCAGACCTGGCTTGAGATCTCAGTTCTGGGGGGAAACCTGTTTGTTTGGGGGCCACACCCAGCAGTGCTCAGAGGCTACTCCTGGCTCTGCGCTCAGGGAATTACTCCTGGTGGGCTGGGGTGGGGGGACGAACCACATGGAGTCCCAGGGATTGAACCCGCGTCTGTCAGGCAAATGCCTCACCCGCTGTGTTATCACTTGGAGCCTGAGGGGTTTTGGTTTTTCCGCATTGCCTGTTCCTTTGATTTCCTTATAAGCCAAACATGAATGAGATCACTTAGTATCAGCCCTTCCCCCTCTGGTTCATGTGGCTGGCGTAGCCCCTCTGAGGAACAGCCGCCGTGCAGCCAAAGGCAAAATCTCATAATTTCTTCCAGCCCCGTCTAATTCCACAGGTACAGGCCGTCTTTTTGTTTTGATTTTGGGCCACACACAGCAAAGCTCAGGGCTTCCTCCTGGCTTTGCGCTCAGGAATTACTCCTGATGGTGCCAAGGGACCATATGGGTTACCAAGGCTTGAACCCAGGTGAGCTGCATGCAAGGTGAACACCATTCTTGGTGCTTTAGGAAGACTCTGAGCTCTCCTCCTGGAGGCATCTGTGGGCCCCCGGGGCCTCCCCAGGCCTTGGCCGTTACAGTGTGCGTGCGGCTGTGTGCTCTGCTTCTGCTTTGGGGCGCTGTGTCCGTGGCACAGCCACCCAGGGGCAGCACTTCTGGCAGAGACCGTTCTAGCAAGTTGAGAGTTTCCCATGCTGCTTAGCGGAGGGAGAGTCCCGAGTCCTGATCACCGGGTCCCACCCGTGCACTCCTGCCCGTGTGCGCCCGCCAGCATGAGTGGTACCTCTCCGGCTGAAAGGGGCACTTCCCCACTGATGAGTCATTGTCACCACCAGTTGGCATCTGTGTTTCATTTCTGGAGGAGTAAGAATCTTCATTTCCAGTGTCACTGGTTACTTTGTTTCTCGATACATGGCCAGAGACTTAGCAAATACTACTCTCTTATATTATCACACAATAGGTATTTGTCATCCTTCCCTGTGCAGTTGCCGGGAGGTGATCATTAGTGTTGCAGTGTAAATGGAAACCACTAATAAAAGTTAAAAAGAGGCATTCGAGGGAGTAATTTCAGGCAACATTTTTTTTTTTCTAACAGAGGCAATCACAACTGGGGGAAATATTCCCCGCCGTTCTGAAACAATAGGAGATTCAAAAATTTGGTTGGGCTCTGCTTTGCACTCTGAAATGATCAAAATGATTTAAAAGCTTACATAGAATATTTTAAATGGCTTTTCATTTATTTTTAGAATTAATTTTGGTTTTCTTTTGATCCTATTTCTGTATCTGCTGAAAGGGAGCAGCTAGAGATTTTTCAGATGTTAAAATTACTTAACTATTTCATTTTTATATCTAAATATATCTTGTAGATGTACCTCAGATGTGTATATTAAATCCAGCTCACCTTCTTAGCTGTTCTAGGCCATAGATCAAGTTGAAGGTTTGGGAATAAAACACACATACATACACACCGACACCAATTGGACACACAAAGACTACACACACCACACACTCACCACCCAGCCATACGGCTGTCTGCCATGTCCCCTAAATTCTCAGACGCTGGAGCCCTCCCTCCCCTCCCCCCACTTCCATGTTGAATTTTGTTGAATGCCTTTAATGCATAAACCATTTATCACGTGATTTATTTTTCTTCCTTAGCTCATTAATATCGTAGATTGTAATCACCGGTTTTTGAATAGTGAGCCACTTCTGCATCTCTGGATAAGCCCCACTTGGGATGTGGAATGTAATTTTTAGTAATGCTGACGTTCATTTGCTAATAGCTTGTTAAGATGTCACATTTGTGCCCCTGATGGATGCCGCTGCAGGGCCTGGGCCGCCGTGCCCGCACCCCGGCTTTCTGTCCGTACCAGGGACCACTTGACTTACATAGTGAACGGCAGCGTCCCCCCTTTTTCTTCCCGGGACAGTTGATGAGGCAGGGGCGTTGATTCTTCTTTCATCTTTGGGTAGAGATTTCCAGGGAAAATATCTGAGCCTAGACACTTCATTTTTGAGAATTCTAAATTATTCATTCAAGTTCCTTATTAGTTATTGTGCTATTCAAATGATGTATTTCATATTGCATGAGCTTCGCGGGCTCCCGCCCGCTGGGGGCTGTGTTGGGAGGTTTGCGGGGGCCCGTCCCCCCCTCTCCGGGAGCACGGAGCCCGTTTCACTCAAGATGCTACCGCCGTGGCCTGCCTGTGGCCTGCCTCCCCTCAGCCTGATGGGAGCTTGGTCCATCTTGTAGGCGTTTCCAGCCTGGTCTTCACTGCATCCCCCTATACACTGGTATTATTTTGGTTTCCAGTGTGCCAGTTTCTGCCCTTTGTCCAGTGCTGGCTCTGGTATCCCTCTGCGCACGTCTGCCTAGCGTCCTTGGCGTGTGTCTTGGAGTCACACGTTCCCATGGAAGCATCCGACGTGGCTGTGTGTCTCCTCCTCGCTGGTGTCTGAGGTTCCAGTTGAATCTTTAAGGAGCCCGAGGTGTCTCACACAGCTCTGGCCGCTGCTGGACTGTGAGCGAGCCTGACATCCCAGCATGTGGGACTGTGCTCCGTCCACTCCCCTGTGTCCAGTCCCCAGTATGTGGCCCAGGCTTGTTGCGCTGAGTCTTCCGGGCCTGTAGATGTTCATCTGTGGCTCTTCATGGAACGTCATTACAGAGCAGGGCTGGGGTCCTGGGTGTGGAGGGAGGGGGGGGGTTCCATAGCCACCCTCATGGCACAGCCTGGAGGGCTACCCTGGCACCCAGCATCCTACAAGCTGCCTCTGCACCCTGGGGGTACCCCGCACTACACTGGGGGGGCCTGTTCGTCTGCCCTGGAGACACAGCACCCACACTTCCGCAGTCCCGGGAGGGCATGTGAGCCAGGAGGCCCCATCTCCTCTGGATCCCAGATCCTGGCCACAGCCCTCAGGGTTTGCCCTCAGTGTTCCCACCCTGGAGACTGGCCAGACAGTGGCGCCTTACTGGGAAGAGCTGTCCTCACCCTAGAGGCCCTTCCTTGGCCTGTCACCCACGCAGGAACAAGCTGGAGGAAGACGGGCACTGAGGACAGACCAGCAGCACGAGAACATGGGTCCCTGTCCAGACTCTGTGGCTGCCACTGGTGCTGTGGGCCCGTGGACTCGTGTCCATGGTGGGGAGCTGCCTGTGGGTCCCCAGGGCCTTGTCTACTGCGGGGAACTCTGCCTGGAGCTTGTGGCGACAGCAGTGGGGGGCAGGAGCTCCGGCACCAAGTCTTCTCAAACCCAAGTTCTAGGCCCAGCACTGTCCTGGGTGCCACTGACGTACCCTCAGACCCTCTCTGGTCCCCCCGCTCCAGCTGGGGCCACATGCCGAGAGACCAGGTCAGTGGTCATGGCAGCCCACATCTCTTTTCCTGGTGGCTGGGGACATGGGCCCGCGGCAGTGTCCACGGTGGGGACAGCCTTCCCAAGGGTGACATCTCCCTTCTCTCTCCCCTCCTCATCCCTGTCACCTCGCCCTGCCTCCCCCCTTCTCTCTGTGTCTCCACAAAGCCACAGCAGCAGCGACCACACCCAGGAGCTGGACGACGAGCCCGCCTGTACAGAGGAGATCGACTACAGCCCGGACGGCGACTCCGACCAGCCGGAGACCCTCTCGGAGCTGGACCAGCAGATCCAGGCATGCGCCTGGCCTGAGGATGAGGAGTCAGGGTCTGGCCGCAAGGCCGTCCCCTAGGTCAGCTGCACCCTGGACACAGGCACATCACCACCAGCCTCGCAGCCACTGTAGGTGACACAGCAGTTTGGCGTGCCGCCATGCCCTGGGCTGCGTCTCAGAGAGACCTTCTGAGAGGTGGTTTGGTGGGTTCTGGGTGCACATGCCTGTGAGATTGCTCTGGGCAGCTCAGCCTGCAGAGTCCCTGGCAGGGGTGAAGCGTCCCTCATGCGAGCATGTGTCCACCTGGGCCTTGTTGCTCCTCAGAACCCCAGTCTGTCCCCTAACGGCCCCAGTTATGGCCAGACCATGGGTCCGTGGCAAGGAGCACGGAGCTACACACCGGCCTGTGGCCCAGGGCACTGCCCCTTCCCATGTGGGCAGAGACAACGTGGGGGCCCTGTGAGCTCCCCAGAGCTCGTATCCCTTCCACGGGCACACAAGATGCCCATCTCCTCCCTCCTTCTGTTCTTCTCCTGCTCCTTCCTGTCTCGCCTCCTTCCCCTTCCCTCTGTTGCTTCCTCCCAGTCCTTCCCTACTTCCCTTCATTCCCTTTTCCCTCTGTCCTTCCTCTCCTGCCTTTCCTCCAACCCCTCACTCTCTCTGCACCACCGGCTGCACCAGGAGGTGCCCCTGGCCTGCCCTGTGTGGATGGTGGCCGACTCTCAGGCAAGGCTGTTTCATGGAACACACTCTCTCTCTCTCTCTCTCTCTCTCTCTCTCTGTCTCTCTCTGTCTCTCTCTGTCTCTCTGTCTCTCTCTCTCTGTCTCTCTCTCTCTGTCTCTCTCTCTGTCTCTCTCTCTGTCTCTCTCTCTGTCTCTCTCTCTGTCTCTCTCTCTCTCTCTGTCTCTCTCTCTCTCTCTCTCTCTCTCGATATATATATATATATATTTTTTTTTTTTCTCCTCTGGGCCTAAATGGGGCTGCTGAAGCACCAGCCCTTTGCACCTGCATCCCAGTCAGCAGCCAGAGGGAGAAAAAACTCTGGTATTCCATATTTGAAACGTGCTTAACTCACCACCCAGTTGGCTGGCTTGCCGGGGCCATCTGAGGGAGCCCAGCGGGAGAGTGGTGACATGGGGTTGGGGTCGGGGTCCGGGTCAGGGCGCTCCCCTCCTGACGGCTGTCATCCAAATAAAGGGTCTCTGAAACTCCCAAGAGTCTCGAGCCTGTAACTCGGGGAGCCCTGCTGGGGTCTGGGGTGTCAGCAGATGCTGGTCACGGTGGTTCCTTAGGTCATGTGAGAAGTGAGGTGGGCACCAACCAAGGGGGGAGGGTGGGGCTCACGTGCCTGGTCGTTGCCCCTGAGCTGGGCTCTGACGGGCTCAGAAGTCTCAGGGCGCAGGGCCGCTGTTGTGTGGGGTGTTGCTGTCCCTGTTTGGGGTGCCCTGGCGGCTCTGGGGCACTCAGAGCGAGTGGGGTGCTGGCTCTGGTTTCTGCCACCAGGATGCCCAGTTTCCCTCCGGTCACTGTAAGAGCAAGTGTGAGATCACGGTCACCCTGGCGCGGCCCCTCCTGCAGGCCTCAGGGGTGCCTCTGTCCCCGCCACAGCCTGCAGAGGACCTGCTTGTCCAGCCGCCGGCATCTCCAGGGCCAGCCACAGGACGGGTCACGCAGTGGCCACGGAACGGGCTTCAGACACTGGGATGCAGCCCATCTCTTCTGGGGGTGCCATTGGCCTAGGTCAGTCGGCCGCAGGGTGGGTCTGGCCTAGGAGGGTGCAGCTGGCACCTGTCAGGGCCTGTGCCTTGGTCATGCAGGAGGCAGGTGACAGGCACGGAGGTCTGTTTCCTGAGGGCCTGAAGCCAGCTTCCCTGTCCCCACGAGCTTTAGGGAGCCCAGACTTGCGCCTGCTGCTGGGGTTGGCCAGTGGGCAGCAGAGCAGAAGCCCCTGGGCACATGGTGTCTCTGTCCCCCGGGGCCTGCACTGGCGAGCTCAGGGCTCCGTGATCTGCAGGTAGGGGTAGGCAATGGCGTTGGGGGTTTGCTCTGTCTGCCATGGTGGCCCCCAGCCCAGGGTCCAGCAGGGTTGTGGGGAAGGGTCCGCCCAGCCGGCCGGCTCTTCCACCACTTTGCCTGGGCTACCTCGGGCGGGTCTAAGCCAGAGGCCAGGTCAGCTCCATGCTGTGGACACACAAAGGGCAGGTTGCACCTGGGGTTGGGCTTGTTTTGGGTCTGAAACGAGACCCTGAGATGCACAGTCACAAAGCTGTCCATGGTTGGGTTTCAGTTCACAATGTCCCAATACCTGTCCCTTCACCAGGGCACATTTTCTGCCACCAGGATGCCCAGTTTCCCTCCGGCCACTGTAAGACAGATGCTTTTCTTCTTTTTTAGACACGGTTTGCAGTGCTGTGGCTGAAAGGGCACCATGCATGTCCGCTGCCTCCCTCCAGCACTTGGTTCTGTCCGGAGTGACCATCTCCAGCCATCATGGTCACAGTGGGCCAGTCTCCGTCCTAACTGCCCGCCCACACCATGGCGTTTCTACTGTCTTGGGGTGTGTAATCTCCGGGTGACTAGGATGGCCCTGCGGCTCTCTCTCTCTCTGCCTGCGTTCCGTGGTCTCACGCCGCTCCCCCATCAGGGACGGCTGATGCCATGGGCAGAAGAAGGAGAAAACGAGGGCCAGGCTGGCTGGTGATCAGCTGCTGTTATTCCATTCCCCCACGAGCCTGTTCTAATCGCACAAAGCCCCCCCTTCCTGTCTCCTCCTGTCCACCTCGCTTGACTCTCCGCCTTGGTCTCTCTCTAGTCTCTCCCCAACTCCCCGCATTGGGTTAGCCAACGTGCTACCACCCTCCATCTGTAGAACAATCAACATTTAAAGCCCTTCTTCCGCTCAAGGCCTAAATACCACTCAGGGGTGTTTCTCCTCTCCGTAGTCCAATAACTTAATTAACATCTTAATTCTGCTTCTCAATATTGGTGATTTTGTATGGACAGACACAGTAAAAAGAGCTACATTTTTCGCTTGTAGGGTGGCTCTCCTGGGAATATCTCGCCATAGATCTCAGACTACAGTGCTCAGGCCAGATTAATCAACCCTAGCAGGGTCCTAATCCAGCTGTTACTTTTTGGATCATGACAGATTTTGCCCATGACCATGCTCTTAACTTATAGTTAAGTATTATGGCATTTTGGCCTGGCCCATTTTGATGCCAGGGTAGCTCACGGTTTGCCCTGGGTCCATCCAGTCCCTCCCTGCTTTTGGGGTGCTAGGAAGCCAGGGCAACTAAGGCTTGAGTCAAGAGAACAGATGCCCAGGAGTGAATATCATTCCGGGTCTGTTAACTCCCAAGTTACAAAAGCATAGCATTAACTGCCTTCCTGTGTTTATACAAAAAGGACATTGTTCTGAATTAACTATGCAAAGGATTTAAGGAGACGAGAGAAGCAATATTTACAAGTTAACAGAGTCTGATTAGGAGATAAAGGTGATTGACCGGTTGGGGAAGCAGAGCACAAAGAAAGAGGTTACAGATAAACACAGAGGAGTGGGAGCACTGTGATGGGAGTAACCCAATAAGCCTAAGATCCCGGTGGCAAGGCAGAAAGGACAAACCACTGTTATCCTACATTGGGGGATACTGTGGTTTCTCTACCCCACTGATGAGCGTCGCCCTTCTATGTCGGTCCCTCTCCCTCTGACTCATTTCACGCAGTGGCAGAATCTGCTTCGTGCTGCAGTGGGCCGCCACACACACAAATGCTGAGCCCGTCCTTCGGCCTCTAAGACACTTAATCTGCAAACAGTAAGAAAGTCCACTGCAAGCCGAGATGGAGACAGGGGATTTCCTTCTTCAGGGGACAAGAACTCAATTCTGAGGTCAGGAACATCCTCAGGAGGTGGCGGAGCTGGGAAGCCCCCTCGCCTGTCCCCTTGTTCCTGCAGCAGGCCCTGAGGCCGGGGCTGCTGGTCAGCGAGCCTGGCAGGAGAGAAGAGTCTGTACAACCGATGGTCTTTGTGCTGGGATTCGGGAACTGTAGACACGTGAGGAAAAGAAAGGGCTAGAGGGGCCAGCAGAGCAAGTAAGGGTTGAATCAGCCCAGGGAACAGAGGCTTGGAAAAGCTGGAGGTGGAACTGTGTCCACCACCAGTGAAGGAGACATGGATGTGAGCCTGCAGGGGCCAGGCTGAAGGGGTGGGAGCAGGGGGACCCTGCAGGGATCAGAAAGAGGGCCAAGGGGCTGTGTCAGAGCTTGGGCACCTGTGTAAACTCACACAAGATGGGGGCTCGGCACCCACACGGCGGCGGCTCTATCTCTCCCGCCACCCGCGTTCGGTAGTCTCACCCTTCTACCACCCCGGAGAGGTCGATGGCGATGGTCAGGCGGGGGAAGGAACGAGGGCCAGGCTGGTTGGTATTAGTCGTAGTTTATTCTGATTCTTTCCTCTTCTCCTCTGTCTCTCTATCTCTCTCCCCTTTGCCCAATCTACTGTCCCTATATCTCCCTCCAAGAGCAATTGGGGAAAACAATTACATAGGTGTGGTCACAATCAATAGGGGTGGAGATCAACAGGGGTAGAAGTCTTAGCCTCAGGGAAGACCGCTCCTAGGACAGATCCTTCCTCAGCAGGAGGACCCACCCTAGAGCAGAATCCCATGGGCGTGCCTCTCCTCTCCTTGTCCGACAAGCATATAAATATATAATATAAATCATTTTGTATGGATACAGTAAGAAATATCTTAAACTTATAGAATTGCTCTCCTAGTGCCATCTCGATCTCAGACTACAGTGCTCAGGCCAGATAGTCTTTCCCACCCCTAGCAGGATCCTAGTCTTGTCGTTACCTTGGATCATGACAGCATTTGTCCATGATCAAACTCTTAACTTATAGTTAAGAATCGTGGCACTTTGGCCTGGCCCATTTCGCTGCCAGGGTAGCTCACTGCTTGCCCTGGGTCCATTCAGTCCCTCGTCGGGACCCTGCTTTTGGGGTGTTAGGAACTATGGGCAACTGAGGCTTAAGTCGAGAAAGATGATGCCCGGGAGTGAATAATATTCAAGGCCAATCAATCAAGGCCAATCAATATT